CAACTGTCAAATTCGACACATTTTTCGATGATTTCACCACGTGGCATGCATTGTCTCTCTTTGGATCTCAATATTTTCCCACTAGATGGCCAAGATCTAATGTTTTTGCAGTATTTCAACACGCAAATGTATGACGTCACCATTTCAACCATCAATGTACGCATGGAACTAAAACAAAGCTTAATATAAAGGAAAAGCTGGAGAGGTGACAGAATTACCTACGATGTGGGAATATACCGCGTTTACCCTAGCAGAAAGTGGGTGAATATTGAAAGATCTTTATAATAATGCCATTAATGGTACACAGTATGGTTTCCATCACGTCATATGGATCAGGATGCAGTGATGCTTGTCCGGAAATCAGTTGCAATGAACTTAAGTGTTGCAGTGCAACTGAGTTTGTGGAGAGTAAGGCCATAAGCATAAGGGATATATTATATAGGTACTATTAAACTTGTTATCAGCTTTTTCTTATTAAAAATAACCCAGCGATGCATCTTGAAAATGGCTGGCAATGCTTTGGGCTAAAAATCCATATCTTGGCGAGTGGAGACGCTGCTTGCCGCTTGCACCCTCTGCACCCTGTTTTAGTGTTTAAGCATTAGAAAGCTCCTGAGAGGAAAATGATGCGTTGTGAAATAAAAGTTGCGCTAATCGAAACTGGCACCGCGTAGATTAAGGGTAGGTCGCAAATTTTTTTTCCGCGTTAATCAAAACCGCGGTATTCAAAACCGTGCTAATCAAGGGATTGCTGTACTTAGCAGTTAGCAAGTCTCAACTGGATTTTTCAAGCCATGGTTTTATGGGTTTTCTAGCCGTGATTCCATTTCTTTGAGCAGTGAATTCCATTTCTTAGAGCCGTGAATTCCATTTCTTTGAGCCGTGAATTCCATTTCTTTAAGCCATTAATTCCATATCTTTGCCATGAAAAGTCATATATGTCATCTTGGCCATGAAAAGCCACTTAAGTCAGTCATTTAAGTGGCACCTGAACATGCACGTGATTATGCAGTCTGACTGCTCTGACATGACCACAACTAAGCGATCTTCAAGGAAACTTTTGGGTTCACTTATTGTTATTACGTCCTGCAGGATACTTTGGCGGGAGCGTTGAAGTAATGCGGATTGCGGAAGTTGACAATTTTATGAAATAACATGTTTGCAAAATGCAAACCGCAATTTTTTCAATCAAACAAAAATATGTGATGTTAGAGACATGAGATTTCATACCTACTGAAATTAAATATTAGACCTGCCATATTTCAGAAAAAATATAACTTTGTACTCACTGCAATGAGTGACAGAGAGCGCATTTTCTCATCGACGAAAACTTGAGGTCACGGACAGATGGACGGACAGATGGACGGACGGACATGGCGAGCACAATAGTGCATTTTTTTCCATAAATGAGAAAATGCCCTAAAAAGAGGACTTTTCGCAACCTACTACAGAGTGTACTCGTCTATTACTAACAATACTCTGAAGTCTTCCTTTTCCTTTGTAGATGATGTGGATGTAGAATAAATGACTTTATGATTTTTACTTGTTTTTCCTTTATTGATATATTACCATATCCATACATTACTGCATTACTGATGTGATATTACCATATCCATGGACATGCCATTGAGCATTGACTACAATCTTGTAATTTCTTCACTATCTGTAAGCTAACTAACAGGACTGGGCTTGTAATTTTGCACCGTTTTGATTGGGTCTAGAGAATTCACTATAAAAAAGATTCTAAAAAAACAAACAGAAAGGAATATTTTAGTGACAACCCTCATATTTTTTTGCAAAAATAAATAATAGTTTAAATTAATTACTTTTTATTCTATATTGCCCAGTGCACAATTCTATCTATGACATTCTATGCACATTTTTGTGGTGACTGATGATGCATGAATTTTTTGTTATGTGACTTTTTTTTGGAGAGCAGTTGAGTGACTTTTTTTTTGCTGAGTGAGGTAAATGTAATCAAAATTCTTTGTTGTTAACTGAATTTTTCATTAACTGGAGCCTTTGCCAACCAAGGTTCTGTAAATGTGTTTTTAGGGGTGTCCCATATTTTACTGGCGGTGGGGGGGGGCCTTATTACCCTCGTGCAGAAATAGCCACCATTTTGTTTTGGCTTGAGGTACAAAAATTCTGTCAATAAAGTTTTAGAGCTGAAACCTGTCTGCAACTTCTTTTTAAGCCAAATTTTTTAATATTACAAATCTTTTTTACTACAGACCTTAGCAGAAGAACCGTCAAAATGGGTTATACGGGACAGGCGAGATGAATCGAGACAGTCCTCTGTAATTTCATAGAAATGTAGCAGATATAGTTATTGAAATATTGCAAAATTGAAAATTGTGGCATAAAGTTTAACATTTTTCCTATCTATGTAGCACAAAGCAAGTTAAGAAATCATACATTTACTACCTCTAAAAAATCCCTAAAACAATGTGTGAAAAGTGAGATTTTGGAAAGGTACCTACCTCTGCTAAGGTCTGTAGCAGAAAAAATATTTGCCATATTAAAAAACTTCACTTATATAAAAGTTGCACACAGGTGCTGGCTTAAAAACATGATTGACAGAATTTGCATATCTCATTAAAAAAAATGGGAGCCATTTCCGCACTATGGGTATGGGGTAATAAGGGACACCCATGGGGTAATAAGGGACACCCCCAAAGACGCATTCACTGTAGAACCTCAGCTAGCAAAGGTTCCAGTTAACCAAAAATCAACTAACACCTAAAATTCTGATAACATTTATCTTGCTCAGCAAAAAAATTTCATTAATGAAAATTAATGCATCATGGGTAATCACAAAATTGTGCATAGAATGTCATAGATGGAATTGTGCACTTGGAGAATGAAAAGTAATTAACTGAAACTATGATTTATTTCTCCAACAATTATTATGGTTGTCATTAGAATATTCATTTGTTATGATGTTTTTATGATCTTTTTTTTTTTGTTATAGTGAATTCACTTGACCCAATTAAAATGGTGCAACATTACAAGCCATGCTGTAAGCTTACAGATACAGAAGAAACAATGTATGGCTGCTGATATGAAGCTTGCAGTGGACAAGGTCGTTGTCAATGCTCAATGGCATGTCCAAAGATATGGTTACATCATATCAATAATATGGGAAAGTATGGATATGGTAATATATCAATAAAGGAAAAACGAGAACAGATCACTCAAACTATCATTTATTCTATATCTACATCATCCACAAAATAGAGGAGAACTTCAGAGTACCATTAGTAATGGATGAGTGCACTCTGCGTGCTTTAAGCATTTTAAAATTAAGTTTTATTTCAAGTGCCCTGAATTACCCTGTTAACAGGGATAATTCAAATTGCTATTATTTTGCATCTAGCACATTACAAATAGCATATGGAATTTTTTGTAGATGCCATGCAATAGCCTTTGCTAATACATTTAACCTTTAAAATGAGCCCAAATTTGTTTATGATATATTTCATGTAAGAAGTTATTAATGGAAAATGCTTGAAACTGTTGCATTTTACCCTGTTCGACAGTGCTTTTTTTCAAAATATCACTTCTCAATATTTTTTCAGGGATTTTTTAGAGCTAGTAAATGTATGAATTCTAAACTTCCTTTATGCTACATAGATAGGAAAAATTTTGTAGTTTATGCCACTATTTTTAGTTTTGCAAAATTTCAAATAGTTTAGCTGCTATAATGTTTTTACACCGTGGCGGAGGACTGTCCTGATTTACCCCACCCGTCCCTTATTACCCCATTTGATGGTACTCAAAAAATCTTTAACCGTTTCTCTATTCATGGCAGTAATAAAATTTTGTTTTTTAACTGTTCACATATTAATGGCAGTAATGAGTTCTGTTCTTTAACTGTTCTCATATTCATGCCATAATAAAATTGCATTTTCCAACTATTCGCATATTCATGTTGGTAATAAAATTTTCTTCTTTAACACGTTAAGTGCGGCAACGAAACACAGCGCTGGCAGCTGGCCTGAAAACGGCCAAGTCTGCTGCTAAAAAGGCCTATACTGGTAATTCAAAATACACTAGTAAATTTGTAGGTTCAGGTGCAAAAATTAAATTTTCCTTTTTTCGTACATTTTATATTTTAATGGGGCAATACTACCATCATAAATTTTTGTCAACTAATGCAATTGAAAAAAAAAAATTTATCCTGAAGAAAGACCCTGCCACCCACCCGTGGGTCATCCCGCACTTAACGTGTTAACTGTTCTCATATTTATGCCAGGAATAAAATTTTCTTCTGTAACTGTAACTGTCTTCTTTCTGTTTTTTTCTTCTTCTGTAACTAATCTCTGAACAAAAAGAGACTAGGTTTGTTCTAGCTAATAGTGCATCTGTCCACCTTTCAGTGTCATCTGCCCCATGGATTTATTCAATATTGTTTACAGATCTTGAAAGGTACGCAGATCCAGTTGTGAGATCATCAACACATTAACACATTACCATGGAATGTTCTCCAACTGATGCAACTACGGCACAAAATGCCAGCGGTTTAAATGAAGATTCAACGCAGTCTTTGACTGAGACTACAGGTTGGTTAAATCTTGGGTTCTAGCAAGATGCAGATGAATATATTATTTATATTTCAGTTTCTTGTCATTCTTGTGTGCAATTGTTTAAAATATTTATATTTCAGTTTCTTGTCATTCTTGTGTGCAATTGTTTTAAATTATAGCTATAAAATTAGTAGGTTTATATTGAATACTAGCATACTTTTATTGAAACAAAATATATTTATGCAGTGTTGTGAAAAGAAATGGAACCTAATGACACATTTTCTGTTAATATGCAAGTTTCTTGCAATATTTTATTTATTTATTTGTGAAAAGATCTTAGCATAGAATTTAAAAAATGTTTCAATTAAAGCTTAACTATAAATTTTACAACATGTACAAATATCAGTTGTGTAAGATCACATTATTCCTACTTCTAAGTTAAATAGGTAATTGAATTACTAAAAGTATTCAGATACTGGTGATGTTTTAACTCATAATTTTTGATTTATATAAAAAATGAATCCAATGGATGCATGGAAAGGCTGTTAATCCTGTAAAGAAATTGATACAAATCTTAAATATTTATCATGGAAGACAAGCCTGTTCAAATTTTGCTGTAATACAACCAATAAGATTTTCACTCTGAACTCTTGCTAGTGGGCAATTCTTCAGAATATATATCAATAGTTATATTACTATAAGATAGCAGAATAAGCTTATTTAAACATGAGTGGTTAATGACCAGAGAAATCGTTGATTTAAATTTTCAGGATCAAACAATATTCTTCAGTGGACGTTGGTTGATAAAAATTCAGGTTCAAGGAAGTAATTTAATTTATTGATGACGTTTTGAATGTGATATGTAAATTCAATAGTTATATGTATATATTTTTTAATAAAAAATGTATTTATTGACTTTGATAGAAAATAATAGGAAGTAAATTGCACAGTGATATCTGTCACTGCCTCCATGCATCAAAATAGCTTGCTGTGAGAACTGATAGTTTTGTTCTTCAAAGTTATTTCATATTTATTAGGTATACATTAAATACCGTCAACTGGGTTGACTTTGGCCGCTGGGTGTGACTTTGGCCACTGGGTGTGACTTTGGCCACTGGGTGTGACTTTGGCCACTGGGTGTGACTTTGGCCGCTGGGTGTGACTTTGGCCACTGGGTGTGACTTTGGCCGCTGGGTGTGACTTTGGCCACTGGGTGTGACTTTGGCCGCTGGGTGTGACTTTGGCCGCTGGGTGTGACTTTGGCCACTGGGTGTGACTTTGGCCGCTGGGTGTGACTTTGGCCACTGGGTGTGACTTTGGCCGCTGGGTGTGACTTTGGCCACCACTACAACAGAAACAAATGGCAGCAAAACAAAATAATTATTTATTAGGTATACATTAAATACCGTCAACTGGGTTGACTTTGGCCGCTGGGTGTGACTTTGGCCGCTGGGTGTGACTTTGGCCGCTGGGTGTGACTTTGGCCACCACTACAACAGAAACAAATGGCAGCAAAACAAAATAATTAACGTTGGTCAAAGTCAACCTGATGGCCAAAGTCACCCCAGTTGACAGTACATGAGTGAGGCAAAGTTTTTAATTGAGAATATATTTATGTAAATATATGTATATTAGACTGCCCAAGACAATTGCAGAAACTGTTTCAATTTTGTCAGCTATGTAGACTGCCTCTTGGTTTATCCAAAAATTTTTAATTGAAATGAATATTTAAATGGGCAGAATTAAATAATATTTAATGTAAAATATTACATTAAATAATAAATTTACAAAATAAATAATGTTATAACTAATATTCAGATATTAAAATAAAAAATTAACACCAGAAAATATTAAATATTTAAATGAAGGCAATTGTCAAAATACATATCAATATAACAATCAAGCTGGACTCTGTAGACAGGCGCCGTGTACCTGTATTATATTATAAATACACGTGCATAGATTTTTTTGGACACATAGCACAAGTCTTCAACTTTATTGAAAGAATCCTGACAATGTGCACAACTATACACTCTGCTCTTCTTAAAAATGTTTTTATATATAAAAATAATTATTATTAAAACTATATATTTTTTTGCAGGTGCTGCTACCAATGCCAGCAAATCAGATGGGAATGTTTTTCCTATATAATAAAAAAATTATTGTTATTGTAATTATATTTTTTGCAGGTGCCGCTACCAATGCCAGCAAATCAGATAAGAATGTTTTTCGTATATAATAAAAAAATTATTATTAATATTGTATATATATTTTTTGCAGGTGCTGCTACCAATGCCAACAAATCAGATAAGAATGTTTTTTGCATGTAAGAAAAAAATTATTATTAATGTTGTATATATATTTTTTGCAGGTGCTGCTACCAATGCCAGCAAATCAGACGAGAAAGCCATGCAGGTAATATCTCTGCTGTTACATTTTATTTATATATATATATATACATTTTATTTATATATACATTTTATATTATTTATTGTTACTCTGCCGTTATATTCTGGTGATTACTTTAATTTGTTGCTTTTTAGAATTGATTTAAGGTTTTCTCTGGATAAACATGGCTGCTTCAATGCAGGTTTCTTGTTAGGTTTCCACTATTACTAATTTATTACCTACTTTATTATTTTATATACTTATTTGTTGAAGTTTGTGTGTTTATTCTTATTACTTCAAGTGTTACAATATTACATGTTGATAAATGTATTTGTTGAGTTGATAAATGTTTTTGTTTGTAGTTTCATGAGACACTAAATTGAGGAGAGGATCAAATTAAGTATTACTTAGTTAAATGTTGCGTGTGATTTAATTAAGAAAGTTTTGGTTAGTTCCTATCTTTCTTTTGTTCAAAATCTTAAAGTTTATATAATTATTAAGTGGATTTGAAACAACAAGGGAATGGATGATATGGGGCTGAATGACCAAGATGATGGGTTCTGAATAACTAAAATGATGTGTTTGGAATTACCAAGCTTCTTTATCTTCTTTGAGTTGATGAAATTCCAATTGGTCAGTTGTAATTTTTAATTCCTATTGGCGTTGGTCAGTTGCGTTTAGCTTCTATGATTGCTAATGAAAAAATTCCAGGATATTTTGCCTGATTTTTCATACACAGTTGTCATTTAATTGTAACTTGCTTATTAGTTTGCTTCAGTACTCCCTAATCTGACATATATGAGTCACATATGGTATATATATTTGATAGTATTGGAAATGTATTTGTAATTGAGCAAAGAATATTTTACTTTAATTATCAATAAAGAAATACAAATGTTGATAATTTGAAGTCTTAAACCTAATAAGGTGGGGTTTTCTTAAGCTTTGAAAAGAAATAATTCAGTATATTTTCATTCCATTCATTATTGTCATTTTATATTTATGATGTAATTACTTTTTTTTACAAAAAAACCTTTCCTGTGCTATTGTAAAACCTCATTTTTAAACATTAAAGATATAAAGTTAAATAGTATAGTTACTCCTGCGTAGAGGCTATCAATGCATGTAACTCTGGCGATCTCAACTTCTGAATACAATTGCTTCTAATTTGTATTACCTAGAAAGCAAGCAAACCAAGAAAATTCTAAATCAAAACTAGAAATGCTTGCTTGCTTGCCATAAATTTAGTATTCCAAAATTGTTCTATTATTAGAAACTTTATTATCCTGCATGGAGAACTACAGCTGCTAGTGTACTCAACTCAGATCAGATAGGATCTGTAATGATCTGTAATTTTTTGTTATAAAATTCAAGAAGGTCCAAGAAAGAAGCCCAATGATGGTTTTTTTATAGATGGAAGAGTAATGAAAATAACAGAAGAAATACCTAATAATTTCATAATAATAATAATAATGAATAAAATGATTATGAATGAATCTTGGTTCAACAGTTTTTCCTCTTAAGCAACAGATTTTTCCCGGCAACACAGTTGAGGCAACACACCTTGTGAATCATTACACTAATGAAGCATATGCTTGTCTTCTTATCTTCAATACAACTTTATTATCAAAGCTACAATATCTTATGTTGCTAGACAATCTTGTAGTACCCTGTCACAGGGTATATATCTTGAACACTTGACCCCTGAAAAATAAATTTTAATATAGGACTAACCGAATAATATTTTTTAAAGTTTAATCAAGGCTGTGATGGAATCATTATTTTAAGTATGAAAATAATAAATTGCTATTTTTCAGAGTTTAATTGAGGCTGTGATGAAAGCATCTATTTCAGTATAAAAATCAATTTATTATTTTCAGTATAAAAATAATCCTATCATATTTTAAGACTTTAATCAAGGCTGTGACGTAAGCATGATTTTCAATATAATAATAATCCTATAATATTTTCCAGAGTTTAATCGAGGCTGTGAAGAGACGTCGCCGTTCATCACTATTCCCCGCCCCCCCAGCAGCGGGGGCTGGGAGCCCCGCAGCCAAGGGGGGCGGTGGCGCCCTGCCAGACCGCAGCACCCGGAGGAGCATCGGGGGAGCCAGGAGGGAGGGTAATGCCCCCCTCCCCCACTGCTTTCCTTACGGGGTAATGCCCCCCTCCCCCACCCTAATGCGACACCATTTATTTATTTATTGCAATGATTTTCATTTTTCTCTCAATAATTTGTTTTTTTTTCTAATTTTTTCCAATTAGGAAAAAATAAAAAAGTCTTAAAGTTCCAGAAGCGGTTGAATATTTAGGTGGATTTGCATTTTATTGAAGATGTTCTGGAGAAATTAAGAAAAGCATTAGATTAGTAGATGTCATTATCTTGAACTTATTTGTTAACATACCGGTATATAGGTAATGTAGGTAATCCATAAATGTTTCAGATTAGAAAATATTATTATTTTTATATAATGAATGTCATTATCTTAAAGTTATTTGTTAAAATATAAAATTTTAGTAAAGCATAAATCTTTCAGATTAGAAAATATTATTTATTTTTATATATTGAATGTCATAATCTTGAAGTTATTTGTTAATATAATATAATATAAGTATAACAAATGTTTCAGATGCCTTTAGACATCTTAAACTTATTTGTTGATATAATTTAAGTAAAACAAATGTTTCAGATGTCTTTAGACAACCTCGTTTATTTTTTATTGTGAATGTCATTATTTTAAACTTATTTGTTGATATAATTTAAGTAAAACAAATGTTTCAGATGATACGATCGGTCCATAAAGAAGTGTTGATCGGTTCAAAATGACATAAGAACAGGTTCTTTTGAATAACCTATGGATTGGCACCATGCTGACTAGTACTAGTAGTAGGAGAAATGGGGCCTTATGGCCTAATGGGCCCCCTGGCGGCTGCCTGGCTGGCAACACCGCAACAATGATCTTTGTCTCATTATCTCATTCTCATTATTCTCATTTACCTATCATAATATAGGTATCAACTATCAAGGTAGCCTATGTGCATAAAAAAAATTCTCTGATCATAAATACCCAATGAAAGTTATACAACTGAAAAGTGAAAAGATAATTTTTTAATACTATATAAATTTATGTGGAATACAAATAGATGTCATGTAAAAAAGCTACACATTTTTTTTCTTTATTAAATTAGCTCTTCTAAAATTACCTACCAATTTTTGGCACTTAGCCTATTTTGCAACAACTATTATTTCTAGGTTTCCTAGGAGCCAATTTGCAATTTCAAAGATTTTAATACCATTAGGCAATCCACTGAATCCAGGGTGCAGAATTGTAGGGTAAACGTGGTATATTCCGACACTGGCGACACATTAAGGACGCATCGAGAAATGAAAAACTATAAAAAAAAACGTATGCGTTACGTAAGTTCTGTTGCCTTCACATGACTCTCAAAACACTACTCGCTGCTCAGGGCACCTCCCTTCAGGACCTCCTCGCCTCCTGTCACGCTGGGACTGCGGAGGATGAGACTAAAAATTCTGACCCAAATAAACAGCAAAATTCTCTAAATTCTGAAAAATATGACACTAAAAAATCTGGCCCAAATGAACAGCAAAATTCTCTCAATTCTGAGAAAAATAAACCAAAAAATTCTGACTGTGACAAAAAGCAAAATTCTGAAAAAGATGAGCCTAAAAATTCTGACCACAACGAAAAGCAAAATTCTTTAAATTCAAGACCTCTTCAGCCCTCAATCGATAACGAAACAAATATAACATCAGATAAGACATTGTTATCTGCAAAGAAAGAGATAACGTTGCATGAGAGAACTGTAGAAAAGAACAAAGAGGACTCGGAGGCACTTCATAAAACAGAAAATAGTAAGTTAGGTAATGAAGATGGAAGAGGTGAAACAGCGAAGCAAAATGAAAACGACATGGAAATTGAGCACAAGTGAGAATTGGTGTTTCTATCTTTTTCCCCCTTAATTTATGGCTCTATTTCTTGCTGGCCCTACTATATTCCTGTAAGGAAGATGTAAATAAATATATTGTCCAATGTTATGATTTTTTGCCTGAATAAATGTTGATTATCATTGCCGAAAAGGATTATTATTTATTCATATAAATAATAATTGTATAAATAGTACAATAATGATATAATATAATTGTAATATAATAATACAATTGTAATAATTTTATAATTGTATAAATAAATAATAATCTGCATATGCCGATTAGTAAATTAATTATATGTATTCACTCAGACGGCGGCTGATAGCAGAGTACGGTGAGAAGACAGCGCTGCTGCGGACGGAGTACAAGGCGTGGAAGCTGCTGGGCAAACAGCGCAGGGAAGACAACGCTGCGGCCGTACGGTACGGTCGGTCTAGCCACACGATCTATCCAGCCATACGGCCCCTCTAGCCACACGGCCCCTCTAGCCACACGGCCCCTGTAGCCACACGGCCCCTCTAGCCACACGGCCTATCCAGCTATATTGCCTCTCTAGCCACACTCCTGGCAGTCTTATCTAGCCACATGGCCCCTCTAGCCACACAGCCCCTCTAGCCACACGGCCTCTCTAGCCACACGGCACCTCTAGCCACACGGTCTATCTAGCCATACGGCCCTTCTAGCCTCACGATCTATCTAGCCATACGGCCCTCTAGCCACATGGCCCCTCTAGCCACACTGCTGACAGTCCTCTCTAGCCACACTGATGGTAGTTCTCTTTAGTCACACTGCTGGCAGTTCTCTCTAGCCACACTGCTGGCAGTTCTCTCTAGCCACACTGCTGACAGTTCTCTCTAGCCACACTGCTGGCAGTTCTCTCTAGCCACACTGCTGGCAGTCCTCTCTAGCCACACTGCTGGCAGTTATCTCTAGCCACAGTAAATCGGGGTTATATCCACTGGTTTTAGGTCATTGTTACAAAGTTTTGTCATTTTTCTTCTCGACTCTCATCACAATTGTTAGTCATTTTGAATTGTATACGTATTCGAATTTTTTGCGCATTTTCTCATTTATGGAAAAAATGCACTATTGTGCTCGCCATGTCCGTCTGTCTGTCCGTCCGTCCCTGACCTCAAGTTTTCATCGACGGGATAATGCGCTCTCTGTCACNGACGATAAAAAAACACTGCAGTGAATGTCATTTGTCGAATTCATCTAGGCCTTTTTTAAAAATTCCTTTTAACCTTGACTCGTTATATTGTTTTTTTTTTGCTTTTTATTCTTGTTTAATATTCTCGTACCAGAAATAATTATAAAATTCGCAGCAGCTGACATATCTTTAATTAAAAATCATGTTTCATCACCATATTTAAAGTTAACATATCCTGAATTGATAATTAGCATAAATTAAAAATTGATGTCTCAATAATGTTATCCATAATAGACAATTTTGTCTCCTCAGGGATTATAAGGAGTCCCGGATGGGAAGTCCTTATAATTATAGGATTATAAGGCCTTCCTATAATTCTATAATTATATTATTAAGACTATATTATAAGGTATAGTCTATATATTAAGACTATATTATAAGGACTTATAATCTCCTCAGGGATTATAAGGAGTCGCGGATGGGGAAGTCCTTATAATAATAGGATTATAAGGACTTCCTATAATCCTATAATTATATTATTAAGACTATATTATAAGGTATAGTCTATATATTATGACTATATTATAAGGACTTCTTATCTCCTCAGGTACTATAAGGAGTCCCGGATGGGGAAGTCCTTATAATAATAGGATTATAAGGACTTCCTATAATCATTAAGACTATATTATAAGGTATAGTCTATATATTAAGATTATATATTAAGGATTATAAGGACTTATAATTTTGTCAGGGATTATAAGGAGTCCCGGATGGGGAAGAAGCGTATTGGGGAGGAGCAGCTGACGCAGCTGTCAGCCCCCCAGCAGGAGCTGCTGGCAGGGAGCTTACTGTGTTGCTGGTGTGTGGTGCTGTGTTGCTGGTGTGTGGTGCTGTGCTGGTGGTGTGTGCTCTTTAATTTCAGGTCGGCAACAATACGCCATGCATTAAATTGTCAATAGAGCTCAATTTTCAGATTTTTACTGGCAATTATCAAAATTAAAAAAAACTACATGAATTTTCTGGCCTAGTGAACTAAATTTTACACCCGGAGTATTAGTTATTGCTATTCACTTAACACTAGATCCATAAACTCTCTAAAATATTTTAATCCAAATACGTGAAATCAGCTTTTTGATTCATTTTTGTATAAATGTCCAAAGTTCCGTCGGTTCATTCAGTCATACATTTTTTATGCATACTGGGGGCCAAATTTGTATGTTTTTAGTTACGTAAGATCGCATAATCTTTGGACTGCACTTAGAAACAGGAACCTAAGTCTTTATTTAAAATATTGCGAAGACTCGTTATTTATTCAAGTTTTTTTCTGCAGACTCGGCGATGTTGAACGGAGACGAGACGACGGTTCGCTGCTTGCTTTTCGAACTACCGGAGGAGTGAAACATCGAGACGTGTTTCTTATCAACACCTGCATTGATGAAACTGTCATAGCCACACTGTCCCTCTAGCCACATGGTGCCTCTAACCACACAGTCCCTTTAGCCACACGGTCCTTCTAGCCACACGGTCCCTCTAGCCACACGGTTCCTCTAGCCACACGGCCCCTCCAGCCACACTGTCCCTCTAGCCACATGGTCCCTCTAGCCACACGGTCCCTCTAGCCACACTGTCCCTCTAGCCACACGGTCCCTCTAGCCACCCGGACCCTCCAGCCACACGGTTGCTCCAGCCACACTTCCCCTCCAGCCACACGGTCCCTCCAGCCACANGCCCCTCTAGCCACACATTCATATCCACACTTGTATTGATGAAACTGTCTTCCATGAAGTGTTGAAACATGTTTCATATCCTGACTTCAGATATTGACGAAACTATGCTGTGTTGTGTCATAAACTAACGAATTTGTAGTACTCAAAACGGACCAAATTCATGTCTTTTTCTTCTGTATGGAACTAATTTAGATTAAGTTTGTAACTCAAGCGGATCAACATTTCTATATCCAACGTGAAGCGTTATATATCAATCATTATGTAATAATAATTGCGTAAAAGAAGAAATAATGAATGCAATAACCTTCATAATGTCTCAACGTTTTGTGTTGTGTTAATTTAATATATTATTTCTGATAGTTGACCGAAAAAAAAACTCGAAATTACATTATTTACTTCAGCTATTAACGAACTTCTCGACATGATTCATATTCAAACATGTCCTCCGCCAGTAGACTTCTCACCATATCCACTAAATGAAGGAAAGTTTCTTATTAATCAATAATCGTCATTCATAAATCAAGTTGTTAGCGGAAATTTATTAATAATATTCACATGAATCTTTAGTAAGCTTCTTCTTGCTAATTTATGAGCTTAAATTAGCGGCTGCAACTGTTATCTTTTCTTTCCAGGAAATAATGGCATTGGTTCATTTTAGAGTAAATCGATAAATAATGCGTATAATAAATAAATAATCCATAAATAATGCGTAGCAATTTTTCTTTTGCTATTATCGTACCCTATTTGTTCTTGAAATCCCGTTACCAAGAGTGTTTTTCATTTGTATACATTATTCAATCGAGTATCTAAATCCTGATTAGTTTTGATAATTATTTGTTGAACGTTCGTCTGCTTTTTTATGTACATAGGCTGCGTTCCATCAGCTCAGGCCTTCCTTCAATTTATGCCCGTAGTTGCTTATGCGCTCCCATACTTAAATCAATTCTATATACTCATGCTATGTAATGTAACAATTCTTCTATATACTCCTGCTATGTAATGTAATAATCATTTTAACTATCATGTAATTAGCCTTTATTAATGTGCTGCATTGTAAGAAATACTGCACGCTTGGTAAGTTGCCGCCATACGTTTAGTTTTTACTTGTTTAGCTTTTCTATGATAATAAAGTATTTTAAATCACTCGAAAATTAATGTAAATTCTAAGGTGTACTGACATTACCAGCACGCCTCTAAATCGGGCTTCTAACTCAATGTTGGTTTATTTAAATCTATATTAATTTGCGGACGTGCAATTTTAATGGTGAGACATAAAACTTTGGTAAAGTGATTATATTAGTTAAAAGTAATATAGCCTTTATTACAGCGTGCGTAGCACTCAATACATCAACGAAAATGAGATCTGGGGCTCTACTTTCGTCATTATGCTTGTACATAAAGATTCTTAAATATAAGCTGATAATATTATGATCCTCATCGTATTTTACATGTATCTTGACAAAATTTCCAAGACAGATTTAAAAGATAAGGTAAACGCGTTGGCCAATATTTTGAAGTGCTGTAAAAATGTGTGTTCACGATAACACAATACATCACGTGGTCTACTTAACATTAAACATTTGGTTATAAGTCAATGTATGTTGTAGTCTTGTAGTCAATCTAATATTTTGTCACAGCGAAACAATTGAAGGCCATGCTTCAATATATCACACAGTCTGTAATGAATACAAAACTATTCAATATCTGCGTTCCAGTCAATTCCTTTACTAATGTTAGTTTTCTATACAGATATTATTTATCATCTTTCTTAACAAGACGTCAAAAAATCTGTCAGCTGAGGTCCAAAACGGTTAAGTTTTTTCCATTTTATAATAACGAGTGGCACGTATTTCTTTAAATTTGTAAAAAATCTTTCCTCGCTCCGAGATTCGAAATAATACTGCTTATTTATTTAGCTCAACATTATCGCCAAGGACTTTACATTAGCCCATCAATATCAACGTCTCAATAAATTCATCTTTACAAGTTTTAGGCGACACAAAAAATATTACACTGTCGTATAATAAGAATTCCTGTCGCCAACAGGAGTAAAAGGTTCTGATGACCGTCACAAATATTCAAGAGACAAAAAATACAACTAGACAAAAAATACGTCAGCATAAGATTAAAAATATAACTCAGTGCTCACTGCAGTGAATGACAGAGAGCGCATTTACTCGTCGACGAAAACGTGAAATCACGGACGGACGGACGGACATGGCAAGCACAATAGCGCTTTTTTTCCCATTAATGAGAAAATGCGCTAAAAAAGTAGAGGTGGTCGGCACAAGAAAATAGAAGACAAGCGAACAAGACGACGCTTAAACGACATGTCGGCTACCCGCACGAGGCTTCAAGAATGAAAATAATTTAAGCTGTTCAATATTCTTGTTCACCATAGATATTAAATATCAAAGATATTAAATCCCAAAATCCCAAATATTAATACCGTACCAAAGATATTAAATCCATTAGCTCTAGTTCATGTAAAAAAAATTAATAGAAATGCTCATTTTCCTGTCAAAAATAAAAAAAAACATAAGCCCACGGTAGCTTTCACTCAAACAATTTAAACGCAATCCTTTCTTCGAATAATGCCGATCAGTTCACTTATCGGCAGATGTTCGCAAATCTATAAAAAGTTGCGTGGAAGTACAATACTAACGACAATAACTATATATTATGAATACTAATGACATTAAGAAATATAAATAATGAATACTTACGGACCTGAAGCAAGGTATATTTGGTGCAGGAAGCTAAGCGGCATCAGTTTGTAATAAAATAAAATAAATCGAAGTGGACGGAAAGTAGCACGTCTCAAATTATAAAAAAAAACACGAAAATCATAATGATAAAATTTCGACTTTGAATAGAGAGCACGGATAACTAAGACAAAATTTTGAAGACTGGGTTAACAATTTCAACAAAGACAAAATTTTGATTTTGAGGACTGGGTTAACAATTCCAACATTTATTAACAATTCTCTGTTGATAAGCCCTTAACAACATAGTTTCCAAATGAAGAAATCATAATTCCTCGAGACCTAATAATTGTTCAAGTTGCTTAATAAATCAATATATGTTAGTCCCATACACATAGAAGAATGCTATACTTAAGTTATAAAACAGGCGTTACATTTTAGATTAGTTCCCGTTGTAGTGCGAGATTATGTATTTAAGTACAAAATATTTCTGAAATATTTTTCCTCGTTGAACTATCTTACTTGTTTTACTTAGCCATTTAGTCGCTCATTTAGGGCTTGTGAACATACATGGAAGTGACAATTATACAGTATATTATTTATCGTATCAACATCAAATTCTTAAGTTATTCCAGTAGTCTTAAATTTGCGTCATTTTGATAAATTTATGTTTTGAGATATAATAATTAAAAAAAAAATAAAAAAAATAATTTAAAGCAGAGTTTTAATAGCGAAGAGCACGCACAGACTCGCATCCTTATTCCAATTTTACACTCGATTATTGAACACGAAAGTCATAACACGTACAAAAAATGATGGAACAAAATATGTTAAGAATTAGATAGAAAAAAAACTTCGAATATTGAATAATTCCAGTTTTACACTCAAAATATCTCAAAATATTGAACACAAAAGTGATAACACGTACAAAAAAGACGGAACAAAATATTTGGAAATTAGACAAAAAGAAACCTCGAATATTTAACACGGAACAGGTGGAGCACGTAGTTAAATAGATAAATAAAAGGACCCAGAAACTAAACATTTGGAGTGCTAAATGAACTCTTGAATTTTGAACAGGTTTTGCACGTAGAAAATCGAATTTACAAAAGAACAAAAAAATGAAAAGAATAAAAAATGGGAAAAAACACATACTTATCATGAACATGAGATTTGTCGATAATAATAATCAATTACTTAACTAAATCATCCTCAGATCAAAACCAAAGCTCAATTGTTACGAACAATAAACAATAATCTGGCTTTGCATCACATTATCTTACTTTAAACAAATAAAGTAAATCAATAATTAATTGTAAATAACAGACGAGTTGTTCATAAGTTACGACTCCGGGGTTGTTCATAAGTTACGACATCACAAAATATCTCTTACAACAACCTGCCTGAGAAACAACATTTCAATGTTACAGTGAATTTTGGAAACAAATAATAAATTTTAACAATACCATTTATTCTCTAAACAAAAACGAAAAATTGAAGCTGCCGAGTCAAACCAATAAGTCGGATTATCTTATTTATGACAATCTATTTTTCTTTTATCTCATTCATGAAAATCTATTTTTCTTTCATCTCATTCATAAAAATCTATTTTTCTTCAACGATTATAGTGATTGATTGCTTACGAACTAAAATTTGTCAACAGGCTTTTAACTGATCTTGCTAATCTTGATATCTTTAGAGTTCCTTCTAAAAATTTAATAAAGTTTATCTAGTTTCATGGAGAATATTTATATCCCGAGAAAAGAATAATGCAATTATATTAAGTCTGTTCTCATTTCGTGTCAACATATTTCCGTCAACCTTGATGTCATTAAATTAACGTTATAAAACATATAACGTTATAAAACATATAAAACATATACCAAAGAAATTAGCGTTATTAATCATATAATAAAAATAAATTTGGAAACGCATGAGCAAAATAGTTAGTTTAACTGAACTATGTAGGCCTGCTGCATTATAAAAACCACTTGAACGAAAATAAAAACAGCGAATCTTTCAAAGCAAGATTACATTTAAGAACAACAAACACATAAGTACGAATGTAGCATCATGCTACGGTTGTAGCAATGTAGCATGAATGTAGCATCATGCCACGGTTGTAGGAATGTAGCATGAATGTAGGTAGCATCATGCCACGGTTGTAGGAATGTAGCATGAATGTAGCATTATCAGAGATTTCGAACGCAGTCTCGTTATACTTCCTAAAGATTCGCACAAATATATGCTCAAGAGATTCTAGACATATAGTTCGAGATATTATTTATAAATAGAGCTTATTCTATATAAGCATGCAAAAATAGTTTACTAAACTTAATGTATGTTACAATTGAGAAAACATTCCATTAATTACACATTGCTTTCAAGCCAGCATAACACAAGAAAAAAAATCCATCATCTCAATGTAATGACAAAGAACTATAAATATAATTAATTATTATATTTATGTAATACTCTCCATATAAATAAGTTAGTTGCGATTAAAGTAGTATACAGTTAAGTGTTTACAAAGTGACTACAATTAGTATCGTTAATAATACTGCACAACTCGGTAACATTTGGCACCTGTAGGCCGTGAAACTTTCTTTTTTGGTAGGCTCGCAGAATTCAGTGACCGATTCAGTTACAACAGACGGGAGGGGGTTTACAACAGACGGGAGGGGGTTACAAGAGACGGAGACGGGAGGAGGGTTACAACAGACGTAGAAGGGAATTACAACAGACGGGAGGAGGGTTTACAACAGACGGGAGGAGGGTTACAACAGACGGGAGGAGGGTTTACAACAGACGGGAGGCGGGTTACAACAGACGGGAGGGGGTTACAACAGACGGGAGGGGGTTACAACAGACGGGGAGGGTTACAGCAGACGGGAAGAGGGTTACAACAGACGGGAGGAGGGTTACAACAGACGGGAGAGGGGTTACAACAGACGGGAGGAGGGTTACAACAGACGGGAGGGGGGTTACAACAGACGGGAGGAGGGTTACAACAGACGGGAGGAGGGTTACAACAGACGGGAGGAGGGTTACGGGAGGAGGTTACAACAGACGGGAGGGGGTTTACAACAGACGGGAGGGGGGTTTGCAACAGACGGGAGGATGAACAGCTGTTACCAGTGACCAAAACAATAACTTCTTAGCAATGAATTATAAAGCAATAAATTCTGCATATTATTGCGTTAGGCATATTCAGATGTAAAGCCCGTATTATTTCAAAGTAAATGTTAAGCTTGTCATTGGATATCAGGTTAAAATTGACGACATGATACTTGCAACAACGGTTTGTAACGAAACCAGAGTTATTATGAGTGTAATATATCAGGACTAATGAGATTACAGGATCTCAGAAATAATGAGATTGCAGGATTTCAGGAATAATGAGACTGCAGGATTTCAGAAATAATGAGATTGCAGGATTGCAGAAATAATGAGGTTGCAAGATTTAAGGAATAATGAGATTGCTGGATATATAACACTCATGAGACACCAGACGTCGGTTCAACAAAGAAGAGTTCCAAGATTACACGAAAAATGAGATTACATTGACACCAGACGTCGGTATCATAAATCATTCATGTATGAACACAAAGTTATTCATACAGCAACCACGCGACAGTTGCAAGCAGTCGAGGACATTAAAAGTTACAATCTAGCAGGTAGTTTGAGATTCAGTGGTAAGTTACAACAGACGGGAGGAGGGGTTACAACAGACGGGAGGGGGTTACAACAGACGGGAGGGTTGTTACAACAGACGGGAGGAGGGTTACAACAGACAGGGAGGGGGTTTACAATAGACGGGAGAGGGGTTACAACAGACGGGAGAGGGGTTACAACAGACGAAGGATGTTTAGGCATATTCAGACATTAGGCATATTCAGATGTAAAGCGTGTATATTTTACAGTAAATGTTAAGCTTGTCATTGGATATCAGGTAAAAATTGACGACATGATACTGGCAACAACGGATTGTAACAAAACAAGAGTTGTAAGATTGCAATATATCGGGACTAATGAGATTGCGGGATTCAGGACTAATGAGATTGCATGATTTCAGAAATAATGAGATTACAGGATTTCAGGAATAATGAGATTGCAGGATTTCAGGACTAATGAGATTGCAGGATTTCAAGAACAATGAGATTGCAGGATTTCAGGAATAATGAGATAGCAGGATTTCAGGAGTAACGAGATTGCAAAATTTCAAGACTTATGAGATTGCAGGATTTCAAGAATAATGAGATTGCAGGATTGCTGAAATAATGAGATTGCAAGATTTCATTAATAAGGAGATTGCGGGATTGCAGATATAATCAGATTGCAGGATTTCAGGAATAATGAGATTACAGGATTTCAAGAATAATGAGATTGCAGGATTGCTGAAATAATGAGATTGCGAGATTTCATTAATAAGGAGATTGCATGTTTACAGAAATAATGTGATTTCAGGATAATGAAATCGCACAAATTAGAAAATTCAAAAGACGACAGACGTCAGTTCAACAGAAAAGAATTGTAAGTTTATATGAAAAATGATATTACATTGACACCAGACGTGGGCATCATCCATCATTCATGTATTAACACAAAGTGATTCATACAGCAACCACGCGACAGTTGCAAGCAGTCGAGGACATTAAAAGTTACAAGCTAGCAGGTAGTTTGAGATTCAGTGGTAGGAACAAGCTAACACAATCAGAGTGGATAAATCAATGATGAAAGAGCAACGTGGTAACAAAAGAACAGCATGAGAGCGAAGGTACTGCACCTGTAGAGCTTCTCCACCTTCAGGTACTGCACAGCCCCCCGGTATTCGCCCCCCGCGACGTGCAGCGCCTGGCGGGCCTCGGGGGCGGTGCTCCCCGACACTGCAGCTGCCACGCGCAGCACCAGCTGCTCGGCAGCTGCTGCACCTGAGCCTGCACCTGCTGTACCGTCACCACCGCACATCAGCTGCACAAGATCAATGTCGTGAACGAACACAAAATAAATACATAACAACATACAATTTTTACACAAAATTTTATGTTGTAGACGAAAACAAAAGAGTGACATCCCCCGTTTCTTTATAGCAGCTGATAATTTAAGTATAAATAAATAAATAAATGTGATGATAAATTTAGAGATTACGAACCTGATTGTAATTAACGGTAACTTGCGGGCTGAGAACGAGCGTTGGTTGGATGGCAATCTCCGGTCGACGTTGTAACTGCTGTTGTTGCTGCTGCTGTTGGTGTTGGTGTTGTTGGTGCAGTTGTTGCTGCTGTTGCTGCTGTTGTTGGTGTTGTTGGTGCAGTTGTTGCTGCTGTTGTTGGTGCATTTCATACTTGTTTTTCTGCTGCTGCAGCCGCAACTGTTCTATCTGCTGAAGATTCTGCATCTGTAATCTGTATTGCTGTTGTTGCTGTTGACGTAATTGAAAGATGCGGGTTTTAAGCTGTTGGCTGGACAGAGGGTGGCCATACATCTGTTGGTGCTCCTGTTGTATCTGTTGTTCAAACATCGATGTCTGTTGTTGTTGAAACGCCAGCATTTGTTGTTGATCTTGCGATGTTGGAGGCGAAGCAAAGGCGTCAAGCTCCTGTGGCGTGAGTCTCTTTTGTAAAACCCCTCCTGAGATAGGCGCCAATGTCCCACTAAGGGGCGCCAATGTCCCACTAAGGGGCGCCAATGTTCCACTAAGAGGGGCCACCGTCCCACTGAGAGGGACCACCGTCCCACTGATTGGAGCGACCGCCCCACCGAGAGTGACCCCACTGAGCGGACCCGCAAAGTTCCCGACGCTGGAGCTACTGGAGCTCCCAAAGGGAACGTTTGGCGACGTGTAGGATGCGTTAGCGACGTCTAACGTGCCTGCAGAACTATCGACGTTCGAGAACCCGAGACCGGAGCTCGAGAACGCGGGACCGGTGCTTGAGAACGCGGGACCGGTGCTTGAGAACGCGGGACCGGCGCTCGAAAACGCGGGACCGGCGCTGGAGAACGCGGAACCGGAGCTCGAGAACCCGGGACCGGCGCTCGAGAACGCGGGACCGGCGCTCGAGAACACGGGACCGGCGTTTGCTGGGTAGTTCATGGTCATGTCAGAAGCGGGCTGATGAGACGAAGGAAATAAAGCTCGGGTTTGTTGAAATAGAAATGGCGAAGGAGGCCTAGGCGTGGTCTGCACGATAGGCCGCACGTGGGCCGTGTTCTTGGCGAAAAATCGACGTGTATCAACCGTGGCCTTGGTCTCCAGACCCAGCGTTTTTGATGATACCTCAACGTTCAGGTCTGAAAACGCACCGCTCGACTGCGCACCAGCAGACTGCGCACCAACAGACTGCGTAACAGCAGACTGCGCACCAGCAGACTGTGTAACAGTAGCAGACGAGAATGTCGGACAAAAAGAATCACTGAAAGAAGGATTGAACGAATCAGTAAACGGAGTTGTAAACGAGGCAGTGGCAGGAAGATTAAACGAGCTCGTCGTAGAAGCAAGATTCAATTTTGATTCCTGCAAAGGCTTCGGTTGACCGGCCAGATTTCCTTGTGCGCCTTGGAAAATATCAGAGGACGCAACACGCACAACATTTGTGCTACGTTCATTCATGTCTGAATGCGTGGTGTTGCCAGTGGTAGAAATACTACTAGTTTTCATCAGTAACCCAGAATTCGCAGAGGAAGATTGGACTTCTTGTACCAGACCGGGAGAACGGACGCCTGAATAAGTATTCGCACTTATTTGGGCTTTGCCTAAACTTTTCTCGAGGTCTTTCAGAAAGTTGGAGTTATTTTTGATATGGGTGAGCATATCGCGAGTTTGAGGGTTGACAAGCGACACGTTCTTGTTATCTCTGTTGCTGATATCGGAGTTCTTATCGCTGTTGTGCGCTCTAGGAAGAGTGGCATAGCTCCCGCTATCGCTACGCTCGTCGTCGGTTGCTGAGAAGACGTTCGATGTCATCGACGTCTGTTGAGACGATGTCGTCATGACGACTGACGTGTTCCTGTTAACGCTTTGTGATGTCTTGAAGGGCGAAGAAGGCACTGACGAAGGGGACTGAGCCATGGATCTAAGCCACATCTTGCTCAGCTGTGAACTGAGAACGCTGGCAACTTCGGCCCGAGGAGTCGAGGCATTCGCCTCGTTAGAAATTTGGCCACTGGGCATCTTGAAAGGTCCTGTTGTATCTGGAAATTGTGTTTCAAAACCTGGCATTGAATTCCTCATTGAACTAGCGTCAATATTTTGTGTATTAGTACTTGAAGCAGGTAGCGATTGTCTGGCAAGCTGTAAATTTTGTCCAGCTTTTGTAGGTCTCAAATCCACGGGACTTCCTTCACCGCGAGCTTCCGATCGTTCCCGTGAAATGTCTTGCATCATGTGACAATTATCATTGAAGGCAGAGGCAGCAAATATTTGAGATTCATGATTATCATCAACACTTGAAAACGGAAAGTTCCGAGACCCATATCCTACTGAAGGAAACTCCAGCGGAGGTTCATCATACACTGTACCCATGTCGGCAGCGACAGTCACTGAAACCTCTTGCTGCAAATTGGACCTATTGTTAATTGGTGCTTCATTTCCGTAAATTGGGTCCTGGGACATAACTGGGACCGAAGAAGGCCCGTAATTGGTCCCATTAATGTTACCATAGACCGCGTGGGACTGGGCCCCCTGGACCCACTGCTCCGAGTTCTCATACACGGTCGAGAAGTCGTCATAAAAACTGTCAGAGTCTGAGCCATCGTAGGTTTCGTCCTCGGGGGGCGGCAGGGAGGGTTTGGCCACGGGGGGCGCGGGCGGGGGGCGCACGGGGACTCTAACCTCCCCTCCACCGGAGGCCAGCTCGTGGGGGGCTTCACCTGCACCGAGAGTAAATGCATTAATTCTTGTACCTACACGAGTTAATTGATTATATTAATTACTACCTTATACTGAATACTCATTAAAGGTAATTGAATATTAATTATCTCATACTGAATGCTCAAAAATGTGGTAATTGATTACATTAATTTTCTCTTACTGATAAAAAATACATCAATTCTAATACTTTTAAATGCTATGCAATAGTCCGACAACAACAACATTCAAAAAAATGTAAGAGTTGATATACCAAATAATGACACGTGTACAACTGATTTGCATTTTTGGTGGGCCAAACAGCTTCAGCATGACCCACAGGAGGGCAAAAAACGTGTCCCTTTTCGGACAAAATCTCACGCGTTTCTCTGAGTGAGCGGGTTATAATCTGGTTATAACAGCATGAATGAATATATATAGCAGCCTGAATCCGGTTATATATATAGCGGCCTGAATCCGGTTATATATATAGCGGCCTGAATCCGGTTATATATATAGCGGCCTATAACCTCCCCCCCACCGGGGGCCAGCTCCTGCGGTGCCCCACCTGCACCGGGAGAAAATGCATTAATTCTTGTAAACGAGTTAATTGATTATATTAATTACCTTGTACTGAATACTGCTAAATGAAGTAATTGATTATATTATCTCGTAGTGAATACTGATAAATGAGTTAATTGATTTTATTAATTATATCTCATACTGAATTCTCATAGACGAGTTAATTGATAATATTAATTACCTCGTACTGAATACTTATGAGGTAATTGATTATATCATTTATCTCATACTGATAATAAATATATCAATTCTAATGCTCATTAGTGATATCCAATAGTCCAACAAGGACAAACACTCAAAAAATGCAAGAGTTAATATACCAAACAATAAACACGTGTACAACTGATATGCATTTTTGTTGGACCAAACAGCTTCAGCATGACCAACAGGAAGGCAAAAAACGTGTCCCTATTCCGACAAAATCTCGCGAATTTCTTTGAGTGAGCGTTCAGCATATGAAAAAAAACGGTTATGTCAGCCTGTATGAATGTGTATAAATTATTATAAGATGGCAGAACTTTCTTGTTTATATGCTTTCAATTGTATAATATAAATTATGTGTATATTGTTACGTCAATTGAATGTGTATAAATTATTATAAGATGGCAGAACTTTCTTGTTTATATGCTTTCAATTTATTACCTGAGAGTGCATTTGAATTTTTATTTTAATTTTCAAGGAGTTGAACAATTCTTAAATGAAGTTTGTATATCAAAAGGGAGATTTAGAAAACAATAATATATCAACGACGTTTCGAATGTAGCAACATTAATTTTCAAGTTAAGAGAAGCATTGAATAGTGAAATTTTGTAGGAAATAAGTACAAAAAAAGTGTAACAAAATGTGTATAAATGAATGCGGCTGAATTTGTTGCAAGGCAAGTGAATTTATTATTATTTTTTTTTTGAAGGGCTGAGGTTTGTGAAGATGTGAATTTATAATAAACAAGCGAATTTGGGCGGACGTAGCGAAATTTTATTGGACTTAAGTACACTAAAATGTGTATAAATGAATTTATTAAGTTAATTATTGTGAAGATAAAGTTATTTATAGTGAAGATAAAAATAATTCATCATCAGCAAGGTGCCATTGAACCTACCCGACGGGACGTTGCAGTAGGTGGGCTGGTGCAGGGATGAGGGGGGTGAGGGTGGAGAGAGCTGAGTGGGGAGGTCACTGAGGGATGACACACTCCCCCTGAGGGAGGGGAGTGCGGGGAGTGTGGGGGTGTGGGGAGGAGGAGGGGAGGTACGCAGGTCGCTGGCAGAGTACGAGCGAAGACGTGACAACGGGGGGTCCCCGGGTGCGTCCTGGGGGGCAGCCCTGTGGGGAGGAGGGGCATGAGGGTACTGGTATGGGCAGTTGAATAATGATACAAATGATATGAATGATAGTCATGATACCAATGATAGTCATGATACCAATGATAGTCATGATATGAATGATACGCAGTTGAATAATGATATAGTCACGGTAATGATGATATGCGCACTTGAATAATGATAGTGTCACAATACGAACAAGGTCACTTGAATAATGAATAATGATACAGGCACTTGAATAATGATTGAGTCACAAATTCACAATATGAACAATGAAGGCGCTAGAAAATGAAATAATCACTACATAAATGATCAAATTCAACCCTAGGTCCAATGATACTATCACTCAAACAATGTAGCAATTAAGCATTAAGCAATCAAGTTAATTCCTAATTAATTAAGCAATTAAGTTAATACAGCACATGACTAAACATACACTGCAGCAGGAGTGAGGTCGTCAGGCCAGGTGTGGGGGGCAAGTTTGTTGTACTGGAAGAGACTGAATACTGAATACTAATAACTAATACTGCTGAAACTAATAACTAATACTAAACTAATACTAAACATACGCTGGGGCAGGAGTCAAGTCGTCAGGCCAGGTGTGGGGGGCAAGTTTGTTGTACTGGAAGAGACGCTCCGCCCCCTGCCGGGTACTTGCCTTCACACGCAGACTAGCATGCTCTGACAAATCCGGTAATTGTTTAGATAACAAATTTTTAATAGGCATTAAATGTTTAAATATAGGTGATTCAACATTGTTTCAATGAAATTAAACCGAAATCAACATTGTTTCAATGAAATTAAACCGAAATCAACATTGATTCAATATAATTAACTCGTAAACAATGTTTTTTAAAAGGTCACTTGGCTGTTGAGAATTCGCTTGCCATTGAGGTACAGCGAATGTTGCTACAAATTTATATCATAATAAAAAATATTTTAAAATTATTATCATTAGGACGTATGCTGTAACATTTTCCGTTAACCAAAGGTCTTGTAAGTAATAATAAAAATAAATATGAGAATAAAGAAATATTAAAAAATTATACTCATTAGGAGATATGCTGTCTCATTTTCTGTTAACTAAAGGTGTTATAAGTAATGACTAAAATAAATAAATAAAAGAAAGAAATTGTAATAGATATACAAGAGATGGATAATAAATTAAAATGATAGATAATAAAAGATAAGAGATAGAAAATAGAATAGGTTTATGAAAATGGCTAAAATAAATTAGAATAAGAGATAGAAATACATTTAAGAAATATTTATTAACTGTGCTTGCGGTGATGGGGAGGCTTGCCCGAGACGAGGTGGGATGACAAGTCCCCCCCAGTGGGAGTGAGGTGGGATGAAGGGTCCCCACCAGTGGGGGTGAGGGGGTTGCGTAGGAACACCTCGTCTATATGGCTGGGGTGTCCCCACGTCTTGTCGCTGCCACCGTGACCTGTAATAGCACAAATACAGCAATGTATGTGTGTTATGCACCCACCCGTATGAATGGTACATAGGCACATAACACTTACCCGTATGCATGGCACGTACCCGTATGCATGGCACGTACCCGTATGCATGGCATGTACCCGTATGCATGGCACGTACCCGTATGCATGGCACGTACCCGTATGCATGGCACGTACCCGTATGCATGGCACGTACCCGTATGCATGGCACGTACCCATATGCATGGAACATAACACGCACCCGTACGCATGTCACGCAACATGTACCCGTATGCATGGCAACACACATACCCATATGCAAGGCACGTAACATGCACCCGTATGCATGGCATGTAACACGCACCCGTATGCATGGCACACAACACGCACCCGTATACACAACACACACCCGTATACGCAACACGCACCCATATGCATGGCACACAAAACGCACCTGTATACACAACACGCACCCGCATACGTAACACGTACCCGTATGAATGAAGGAGTTGCGCAGGGGGGAGCTGATGTCCTGGGGGAGGAAGGGGCGGGCCGTATCCAGGATACAGCGGGGGAACTCCCCCACCTCCCTCGTGCGCTCGTTCTCCCCCACCCACCAAAACGCGTCCGCACTGCAACAAATTTACCGCCTTATTTCTTTGAGTGTATACAGGGTAATTGGGAGTTAATTAACTCTACATAATTGATTAACTCCACATTATGATTTTGAGTTAATTAACTTATTATAATTAAATAACTATTAATTAATTTTTATAATTAATTAACATTAACATGGAACTGTTGCTGCGTGCATTATTTTTATTAAGAATTATTTGTGACCAACACAACTGCACCACAGCAACATTGTCCCCCACAGCAACACACCTGCCGTGCATCACAGCAACACCTGTCTCTTATACACATCTAGATGTGTATAAGAGACAGATACTAAACTAATACTAAACATACGCTGGGGCAGGAGTCAAGTCGTCAGGCCAGGTGTGGGGGGCAAGTTTGTTGTACTGGAAGAGACTTAATACTGAATACTAATAACTAATACTGCTGAAACTAATAACTAATACTAAACTAATACTAAACATACGCTGGGGCAGGAGTCAAGTCGTCAGGCCAGGTGTGGGGGGCAAGTTTGTTGTACTGGAAGAGACTTAATACTGAATACTAATAACTAATACTGCTGAAACTAATAACTAATACTAAACTAATACTAAACATACGCTGGGGCAGGAGTCAAGTCGTCAGGCCAGGTGTGGGGGGCAAGTTTGTTGTACTGGAAGAGACTTAATACTGAATACTAATAACTAATACTGCTGAAACTAATAACTAATACTAAACTAATACTAAACATACGCTGGGGCAGGAGTCAAGTCGTCAGGCCAGGTGTGGGGGGCAAGTTTGTTGTACTGGAAGAGACTTAATACTGAATACTAATAACTAATACTGCTGAAACTAATAACTAATACTAAACTAATACTAAACATACGCTGGGGCAGGAGTCAAGTCGTCAGGCCAGGTGTGGGGGGCAAGTTTGTTGTACTGGAAGAGACTTAATACTGAATACTAATAACTAATACTGCTGAAACTAATAACTAATACTAAACTAATACTAAACATACGCTGGGGCAGGAGTCAAGTCGTCAGGCCAGGTGTGGGGGGCAAGTTTGTTGTACTGGAAGAGACTTAATACTGAATACTAATAACTAATACTGCTGAAACTAATAACTAATACTAAACTAATACTAAACATACGCTGGGGCAGGAGTCAAGTCGTCAGGCCAGGTGTGGGGGGCAAGTTTGTTGTACTGGAAGAGACTTAATACTGAATACTANCCGTATCCAGGATACAGCGGGGGAACTCCCCCACCTCCCTCGTGCGCTCGTTCTCCCCCACCCACCAGAACGCGTCCGCACTGCAACAAATTTACTGCATTATTTCTTTGAGTGTATACAGGGTAATTGGGAGTTAAATAACTCAACATCATGATTTTGACTTAATTAATTCTAAATAATTAATTAACTCGACGTTATGATTTTCAGTTAATTAACTCTACATAATTATCAACTCTACATTATGATTTTGAGTTAATTAACTCTAAATAATTAATTTACTTGACATTATGATTTTCAGTTAATTAACTTAAAATTGTGCCGCCTTTAGGATATATTCAGGCTGACATTGATATTGTCGACATCAACATAGAACTGTTGCTGCGTGCATTATTTTAATAAGGAATTATATTCAACCAACACAAGTGCACCACAGCATCACACCTGCCGTGCACCACAGCAATACTGTCCCCCACAGCAACACACCTGCCGTGCACCACAGCAACACTGTCCCCCACAGCAACACTGTCCCCCACAGCAACACACCTGCCGTGCACCACAGCAACACTGTCCCCCACAGCAACACACCTGCCGTGCACCACAGCAACACTGTCCCCCACNGTGATGAGTCACCTGAGTGAGCAGACGAGTGATGAGTCACCTGAGTGAGCAGACGAGTGATGAGTCACCTGAGTGAGCAGACGAGTGATGAGTCACCTGAGTGAGCAGACGAGTGATGAGTCACCTGAGTGAGCAGACGAGTGATGAGTCACCTGAGTGAGCAGACGAGTGATGAGTCACCTGAGTGAGCAGACGAGTGATGAGTCACCTGAGTGAGCAGACGAGTGATGAGTCACCTGAGTGAGCAGACGAGTGATGAGTCACCTGAGTGAGCAGACGAGTGATGAGTCACCTGAGTGAGCAGACGAGTGATGAGTCACCTGAGTGAGCAGACGAGTGATGAGTCACCTGAGTGAGCAGACGAGTGATGAGTCACCTGAGTGAGCAGACGAGTGATGAGTCACCTGAGTGAGCAGACGAGTGATGAGTCACCTGAGTGAGCAGACGAGTGATGAGTCACCTGAGTGAGCAGACGAGTGATGAGTCACCTGAGTGAGCAGACGAGTGATGAGTCACCTGAGTGAGCAGACGAGTGATGAGTCACCTGAGTGAGCAGACGAGTGATGAGTCACCTGAGTGAGCAGACGAGTGATGAGTCACCTGAGTGAGCAGACGAGTGATGAGTCACCTGAGTGAGCAGACGAGTGATGAGTCACCTGAGTGAGCAGACGAGTGATGAGTCACCTGAGTGAGCAGACGAGTGATGAGTCACCTGAGTGAGCAGACGAGTGATGAGTCACCTGAGTGAGCAGGCGAGTGATGAGTCACCTGAGTGAGCAGACGAGTGAGTCACCTGAGTGAGCAGACGAGTGAGTCACCTGAGTGAGCAGACGAGTGAGTCACCAGAGTGAGCAGACAAGTGAGTCACCTGAGTGATGAGTGTGTAGGTAGCATGGCTGCAGGCGACAGGTTTACTGAGCCTCTCGCCTGCGTCGATTTTGCTGAGAATTTGAGCGCCGTTGAGCCCCGCCCAGGGCTCCTGCCCACGACTGTACACCTCCCACACCGTCACCCCGAACATCCATATGTCTGGGGGAGGGAACATGTGAGAACATGTCTGAGGGAGAGAACATGTCTGATGGACCACACCGTCACCCCGAACATCCATATGTCTGAGGGAGAGAACATGTGAGAACATGTCTGGTGGAGAGAACATGGCTGATGCAAGAACACGTCTGATGGCAAGTCACCCCGAACATCCACATGTCTAAAGGAGAGAACATGGCAAGAAAATGTCTGATGAACCCACACCGTTACCCCGAACATCCATATGTCTGATGGAGAAGATGGAGACTCGTGAACAACATGATCAATTTTTAAATATCAGCTAAATATAAAATCTGGTATACGATTTTTGAATAAATATGATGTGCACACTTGATATGTTATCCCTCCTAAATCTCTTATTAAAGCCTACACGCAGAACTGACCCGAGGCGTGGGGGAAGATCTTGGTCTAGAGGCTCTTGGGAAGGCTAAGTAGGACTAACAAGGCCCCAGTAAGACTGAGAAGGCCCCAGTAAGACTAAGAAGGCCCCAGTGAAACCAAAAAGGCCCCAGTGAAACTAAGAAGGCCCCAGTGAAACTAAGAAGGCCCCAGTGAAACTAAGAAAGCCTTATTGAGACTAACAAAATGTAACTCAGTACTCACTGCAGTGAGTGACAGAGAGCACATTTTCTTAAAATCAACGAAAACGTGAAGTCACGGACAGACGGACGGACAGAAGGAAGGACATGACGAGCACAATAGCGCCTTTTTTCCATAAATGATAAATGCTCTAAAAACAGTAAGACTAAGAAGTCCCCAGTAAGACTAGAAAGACCTGATGTAGTCACAGACCCGAAGCATGGGAGAAAGTCTTGGTCTTAAGACTCTCAGGGGCACACCAGGGGAAGGGCACCTTCTTCGGCTCCGTCATGATGTAGCAGTCGTCAGACTGGTTCAGGGAGCGAGACAGTCCAAAGTCCCCCAGCTTTGCCTGCACAATATATTAATAATTGAGTCCCAATCATTGAGTAACCCTGGCCTTGAGAACTCAAAGTCCCCCAGCTTTGCCTGCACAATATAACAATAAATGAGTACCAATCATTGAGTAACCCTGGTCTTGACAACCCAAAGCTAGGCCAATACATTATCTTCCCGTTGCGAATTGTTGTGCAAGGTAATTTGGTTTTCAAATTGATGTTCAGCAGCACAGCAATGCAACAGATAATGGAGAATCATATGTTGGACTACATGCATTTCAAACATAAATATCAATTTGCTGGTAATGTCACTTCATCAATCTTTCTCCAACCAAGTCCTCTTCAAAATTACAACAAGAGCGGTCCACGTCAAGAGCGCTTCACAACAAGAGCGCTCCACGTCAAGACCGCTCCACGTCAAGAGCGCTCCACGTCAAGACCGCTCCACGTCAAGACCTGTCTCTTATACACATCTAGATGTGTATAAGAGACAGAATAATGATAGAGTCACAATATGAACGATAAAGGCGCTAGAAAATGAAATAATCAGTACATAAATGATCAAATTCAACCCTAGTTCCAATGATATAATCACTCAAACAACAACGCTATAATCATTGTAGCAATAAGTTAATACTGCTGAAACTAGTAACTAATATCTAAATAATACTGAATACTAATAACTTATACTGATAAATTGATAACTAATACTGCTGAAAATAATAACTAATACTGCTGAAACTAATAACTAATACTGCTGAAACTAATAACTAATACTGCTAAAACTAATAACTAATACTGCTGAAACTAATAACTAATACTGCTGAAACTAATAACTAATACTGCNTGGGGTGACAGTACAGTATCAGGTTGGGGTGACAGTACAGTATCAGGTTGGGGTGACAGTACAGTATCAGGTTGGGGTGACAGTATCACGTTGGGGTGACAGTACAGTATCAGGTTGGGGTGACAGTATCAGGTTGGGGTGACAGTATCAGGTTGGGGTGACAGTATCAGGATGGGGTGACAGTACCGTATCAGGTTGGGGTGACAGTATCAGGTTGGGGTGACAGTATCAGGTTGGGGTGACATACCAGGTTGGGGTGACAGTATCAGGTTGGGGGTGACAGTATCAGGTTGGGGGTGACAGTACCGTATCAGGTTGGGGTGCGACAGCTCTGTCATGGCTGCCACCTCCCTCATGAAGTCTTCCAAAGCTCCGGCCACCGCCACCACGTCCACCTTCAGCATCTTCACCGCCACCTTCATGCATTAGCAGATTATTTTTAATGGTCATACGCACATTAATGCAGGGTGCGTACCGGTCATGGAAAATCTGGAAAGTTGTATACAAGTCTGGAAAATTATGAGTCGTATATAAGTCTGGAAAATTATGAGTTGTATACAAGTCTGGAAAATTATGAGTTGTATACAAGTCTGGAAAATTATGAGTCATATACAAGTCTGGGAAATTATGAGTTGTATACAAGTCTGGAAAATTAAGGGTTGTATACTAGTCTGAGAAAATTACAAGTCATTTCCAAGTCTGGGAAATTGTGAGTCATATACGAGTGACTTGTATATGACTCATAATTTTCCAGATTCGGATACGGCTGTCCAGGTTTTCCATGACCAGTACGCACCCTGTTAGTGGGTCAGATAAACTAATGAGTCATTTTGTTGTAGGTCAGTCTAATCTTTAGGTCTGCAGTCAAAAAATGTGACCCTAACAATATTTCCCAATAGTGACACACTTCTTTACCCACTGCACAAGCAGAGAGAATACTTATCTCATTTGCTATGTGGACGAAGTCACACTTAGTTCTCTGAGTGCAGGTTTAACAGTTCACCATATGCATTTGTCATTAAAATAACAAAAAAATTAATATATTAATTTAAAGTAATTAACTTTTTCAAGTAGGGCAATAGTATTAAAACAATACTACATGAATAGTGAAGCCAATTATTTTCATTATAAAATGTTTTCCTCATAGATTGAGAACAATTGAAGACTTTTCATGAGCGGTCTATATGAGTGCTGTGCTAAAATTTACAGGCCATCTTGGATAATTTATGTTACGCATTAATTTTGATCATGAAAATTGCCTGTTTTTTTTATTATTTACCAATAATTAGGGGGTTCAGCTTATAAGCTATATGTTCAGTTGACTTTACATGAATTTTCATTGCCCATCTAGTGACATGACTCTGCAATCTAAATTGCTACATATGGAATGTATGTGGCAAAATTAGGTAACTATAATTTCAAGTGTCATTAAAGAAACTAAGTTTAGAAAATTAGATCAGTACTCACTGAAGTGAGTGGCAGAGAACGCATTTTCTCACGTCCGTCCGTCCGTGACGGACGGACGGACGGACATGCAGAGCAAAATAGAACATTTTTGGCATAAATGAGAAAATGCGATAAAAACATAACCAAGAGAGAAGATTTTAATTCCAATTTGTTAGTATCATTTTCCAAGAAAATGTACATGTGATGCATATAAAATATACCTAGGTTTTTGATAGAAGAATTTCTGATGTCGAAAATTTTAAAAAGAACTGCTCACTATCTACAGCAATTATAGTTGAAGAGCTGAATTAGCAATTGAATAATTTATAAGAGCATGCATTTTCAACATACCTTCTTGACCGCCCCATTGGATGTGGTCCATTGACCCTCCTTGACCACACCAAAGCTACCATCACCCAGCCGCTTGCCCATCACTATGTCCTGTGACAACATAATTGGTTTACATTTGTGGTCATGATCTATCAAAAATTTTACTCCGACAAGAACATGATGCTTGAAAAATTTTTTTGTAATTTTGTTTGGAAAAAATTGTGTATACCGGTACAATACATAGTCCTAAAGTTCTTCACCACTTTTTTGGAAGAAGGAATGTATGTAATTATGTTGCCAAATCAAATAAAAATTAGTGTGTTGGCAATAATCTTAAAAAAATTAAAAATAATAAGAAAATAATAAATTAACAATACATAATAAATAGTAGGTAATTATAATAATAAATAATGAATAGTAATTAAATAATAAGAAAAACAAGGAGAACCACAAACCTTCTCTTGAATGAGGCATGTGAGGCCTCCAGGAACATCAGGAGGCACAGAAGTGATGTCTTCTTTCTTGGAGGGGAAACTTGCAGTGCCTCCCGACACCCCCGGCCGCAGCTTAGCCAGGACAGCCTTCCGCCACAGAACGGCCCGTCGCTTTTTGACGGCATCCAGAAGACGTCGGGCCGCTGGCTTGCCTAGCCCAATGCGCTCCAAATCTTCACAGCGCACAAACTCAAAATGGCTTAGTTGAGTTACCTGTAAAAATAAACTGTGTTAGTCTATTATTATATCACAAATGATCATTGCTATACCTCATTTGAATTTCAGGGGCAAAAAAAAGGGGAAGACTCAATTTTTATGACCTTTAGGCTTTCGTGAACAAAATCGAAAAATAAGATTACTTTCAGTGAAAAAAATTTTGTACAGTTTGACTGCTGTTGTAAAGTCGGCTGCTTCAGTTTGGCTGCTCTAATCCGAATGCACATATTTATATCTATCAAGGAGATAAGAAAGCTGAAGAAAATTTACTTTACAAAGGTTTTTAATATTCATATATATATATATACCTGCTACATTTAATTGATGTATCTATGTCTATCAGGAAGAAATTAATGATGCAATTTTGTTCTTAATGAATTATGACCAAATCTAGGATCAAATTTGTTATTTATATACCATATCTTTCATGCCTATTTAAATAATGTATTCCAAATTTTAATTCATTATTCAAGTATCAACTGGTCAGATTTTTTTATTAGCAAGAAAAATTGAAAGAAAATATCATCTGAAAAGGGAAGTGGGAAAGACATAAAAATAATTAATGTGATCACCTGAAGGTCATCACGAAGCCGAGGTAAGAAATGCTGCAGCTGGACGTCTTGCAGCAGCTGCCGCAGCTCCTGGACAGATGCAGCGTCTGGGCTGCTCAGACCCTCTACTGAAGACTCCGTTGTTCTAGACATTTCACTTCAATTAAGATAAATGACTATCTCAAGAAAAAGCTACAGTTGATCATGTAAGCCAGCCAGGTTTTTTCCTTAGCATCCATTTCTCCTAAATTTCATTTTATTTTCTTTGGAATGGCAGCGCAAAATGAAAAACAAATGAATAAGAGTTACTTGAGAACAGTGGATTGAACTTGCAATTATTATAACATTAATCATCTATACAACACAAATGTTATCAAATTACTAGGTGCTAACACTTTCATCAATACTAATAAACAAATGTTGCCAAATTACTAGATGATAATGCTTTCGTTTACACAAAACAAATGTTATAAAATTACAGGGTGCTAAGACTTTCATCTATACAGCACAAATGTTATCAAATTACTAAATGCACTACAGAAATCAAGGAATGTTGTTACTTATATTAAATATCAATCTAGCTAGATCAATTTTTGGTTTGAAAACATCAGTAATAGATTATTTATATAAATACATACATAGTTATACATATTTCAGTTTTTAGTTCTTCAAAGTATCAGAATTCCTTTGAACCAAAATGATGAGTCTAGCTTCTTTCAAAAACTTTGAATTTCCAAAGTTACATTCAAATCAAGTAAAAAGCCTCTGGGCTTTATTTGGCAGTTTCAGTTTAAGTAAAATGTACATAAGACATAATTTAAATAGTAAAAAATTGTGGCCATTAAAACAAAGCAAAGAATCATATATACTAAAGACTGATTTATATAGGTATTGATTCATATGTACAAGACTCATTCATATATTGATTCATATGCGTATATTAAAGATCGATTCATAGGTATATATTAATGACTGATTCATATAAGGTATTGATTCATACGCGTATATTAAAGATTGAATCATATATATATTAATGACTGATTCATATATTAATTCATATATACTAAAGACTGATTCATATATTGATTCATATGTTCAAGCCTCATTCATATATTGATTTATATGTACAAGACTGATTTATATATTGATTCATATGTACAAGACTTATTCATGTATTGATTCATATATTCAAGATTTACTTATATATTAAATCATATATCCAAGACATATTATATAATTTTCATTTATTAATATTTTTCTCAATATTTAACAGCGGTCAAAGTGACAGCCACTGTGGCTAGTCACCCCACACATGGCGTGACGCAAACACTCAGAGTTAATTCAATTCAAGTTAACTCAAGTTAAATTAAGTTAATTGTTAAATCAGGTTATTATAAAATCAATACCTATATGATATTTTTAGAGCCTAAAAAAAATATCAAAAATAAAAAAAGAGAAAAAAGTAAACTTATAATGCGGTCCTAGTGGAACTCTACAAAATATGGTTCATATATTCAGGGTCTATACGGTCTGATAACTTGATCAGTTTTAGGATATCAGATACATAATATTTATAATAACAAGCATCACAATGAGAACCAACTCGAATCATTCATCGTAGCACCTGCAAAATTATTTAATTATTCATCAAAATCATTTATTTAATTATTCCCTAATATGTATAACGTCCGCATTGGATTATTTGCTTCTTTTTAGCGCTTTTATCATTTATGGAAAAAATGTAACTCGGTACTCACTGCAGTGAGTGACAGCGAGAGCATTTTCTCGCCGACGAAAACTTGAGGTCACGGACGGACGGACAGACAGACAGACGGACATGACGAGCACAATAGCGCCTTTTTCCATAAATGAGAAATGCGCTAAAAATTCGCTACGGTGCTCGTCATGTTCGTCCGTCCGTGACTTCACGTTTTCGTCGATTTTGAGAAAATGCGCTCTCTGTCACTCACGGCAGTGAGTACTGATCTAATTTTTAATCGGTATTTCTACGTTTTCTTGTTATTTCAAGATGGCTTGTGGAAGACCATGAATGTCCGTTGGACATTCATTCATTCTGATATAATCAGTCCCGTCATTAGACTGGAGTCTGTACGGACATTTCTCCAAACACAGGAGCGAACTCGTCAGGATTAGATTTGGATTTGGGGCGCAGTGACTCTGAGAAACAAAAAATATAACTCAGTACTCACTGCAGTGAGTGACAGAGGGCGCATTTTCCCGTCGAAGAAATCTTGAGGTCACAGACGGACAGACAGACGGACGGACATGACTAGCACAAAAGTGCATTTTTTCCATAAATGAGAAAATGTGCTAAAAATACATTTCAGAGCCAGGCCAAACTCAAAAGCACTAAACTTTTTCGCAACCGTACAGCTCACAAGTCCCTCGTGATAAGGCCTGTCCTCTAATTATGGCCTCACCTACCCCTAATCTAAATTTTGTAAATTTTTTTCTGAAACGAAAATATAGCAACGTAAAAATTATGGACGATTAACGCTGCGGTATCTTTCTATTAATTAATTATGTTTCAGGCAGATCCGTTCAGAATCGAGAGACAGAGCACTGAGATTGATTCTGAATCGAAAAAATGTGCTAAAATTCCATAATAATTCCATAAGCGTCGTCTTTCTGTTAGTTATGTCCTTAATTTAGACAAATCCGTTCAGAATTCAAGGACATCGAGCTGTTGTCTATTTTAGAAGGTCATCAGCCCAACTAAAACATTCCTTAGCCCCCGCTGAATTTTATATTTATTTATTATCATAATTTTTTATCATTGACAAATCCCGGAAATTCAATTTAATGTGGTCTAAATATAAGTATAGGAAAATAATAAATCAATCAGTCATTACTAATTTATATATTAATATTGTAGTTCAAGGGGCTTATCACCCTCTGTCCTTTAACCCTTTAACCCTAAACATGATCAAATCTGTAGTGCTGGTATTTTAAAATAAATCTTGTGGTTTAGTTGATCGGCGGATAGTTGCAAAATTAATTTAATATTTAATTTATTGAAGCAATTTCTCAACGGTTTAACACCATAGACATTATTCTGATTAACATNCTTGTACTGTTTCCTTTCATCGGGTATGGAACTAGCACTCATTCATGTGTGTAATGCAACAAATCGCTCGAGAATGTCGATACTTAACGAAAACGTCTCTTTTCTATATTCAGTATAAGTGTTCAAATGGAGTAATAAACAGTTTCAGGAACACAATTTTTCTCTAACCCGAACCATCAGTGTTTCCTACAAACATGATAGCAATAAATAAATAATTCAGTAGGTCCGAGGAAGATAATAGCGAAAAGAGTGAATTACTCTCCGATCTCTCCGCTAGTCAACTGACCCTTGCACTGGCTGCCGCCATGTGGCTTACTGAGATGGCTCGGCTTCGCCCTCCCGCGTTAATAAAACTGGCTGCGCCGCCTCCAGTCATCTAACCTCCTTGCCTGTTCCTAACTGGACCTAACCTGCGAGGTTTTCGTTGATCGGCTAGGTTTTTTCTGTTTTTTAGTCCGGCGGCGCGAGACCGGCCGCGGGTCCGGCCGTAAATTTGTCCGAGACGTCCGTTTACACGGCCTCCTTCTTATATATCAGGGCCTATACTTTAAAAAAAGTTAATAGATCGTAAGTTCATCAGCCAATCATTGACGGCCTTTCAACTTGAATCCACCACAATCATAGACAAGAAAGTATATCAGATCTCAAGGTAATATATCTTCGTCTAATAACACTAATAAACGCTTAAACTCAATCGGGATAAAACAGTATAAATTACATGCGATCACTTACAATAAAAGTTATCGTAGTTAGTCATTACTTGTACAAAATCCTTGACGTTGGATTAATAACCGTGCATCCCAGAGGCACGCTAGTTAATTCTGTTTCACTCTGAATAAATTTATAAATTTATTCTGAGAATTTTCATTTCAATTAAATTTCAATTGAATTATTTTTGAGAATTTTCACAATTAGAACCTCACGTCAAACCGGAGTGTCTCGGAAAATTTTGGCCACTCTCAGAATATTAATGTGTATAAGTTGTCCAAATTGTGACACACTCACTGCACGTAGCACTGATATGCTCTTTTTTTTGGTGAGTTTGGGAGGCCTTTTTTTTAAAAAAAATAATAATATGCTCATTTGCCGGGCCAAACTGGATCAGGATGACCCACACAAGGGCAAAAATGCATCGCTATTTGGACAAAGTCCCACTCATTTAAATGAGAGCATATTAACTGCAGAGTTAACGTAGTAAATAACAGCACTCATCAGGTTCTAATAGAGGCCTACAACATTTCTGCAGCCATGGGCCTACAACATTTCTGCAGCCATGGGCCTACAGCACTTTGCAGCCATAGGCCTACAGCACTTTGCAGCCATAGGCCTACAACACTTTGCAGCCATAGGCCTACAACACTTTGCAGCCATAGGCCTACAACACTTTGCAGCCATAGGCCTACAACACTTTGCAGCCATAGGCCTACAACACTTTGCAGCCATAGGCCTACA